TATGATCATAGGCAAAAGAAATGTGTGTGTATACCACTGGGAGTCATGTCTCATCAAAGCAGTTTCAGCACTCCTAAAAATGTTTTGTTGTTCTTCATTGGTTATTATAGCTTTCTGTTGAGTAGTTTCTAAACAGTCCTTCTCAATAGAGATCATGCATATTGACATACTGTAGATTTATTTTGCCAGATGGACAATGGAAGGCATTCTTCCTCTCCAACATCTGGATGCATGTTCAAGCAAATCAATGCAAACTACTTCCAAGTAATAAATGTGTTTAAAACTGGAGTACTGCCTATGGCAAACTGCCTACTTGCTTTTGTATGTGTGCATACATAATGACATAAATGGAGTACCTGTCCTTTCCGGTTTTAATAGATATTTCCTCTTGGCAGTACTTGGTTAAAATATTATGCCTCCTTTCTACCAGCATATTTCCTACTGGTGTCAGAGGCTTCACTGAAGCAAAAGTCAGGATTAGCAATTTCAACTGATTCCTCCTCCTCAGCAGCTGCTCATCTGGCATGACTTTTAGTCCCCAGGAGTCCTCCAGTTTGTAGCATCACCTTTTTGCTGACTTTCAGGCAGCTGCTGGGGGAAGGGGAAGATGAGGGAGGTCAGGCTCTGCTAATACCTTCCACTGGCAAAATATAGAATTTGACTCTACTAGAACAATCCTAAACAGAATTACCCTCTTCTATATCCATTGAAGTCAATGGGTTTAGAAGGGTGTACACCTGTTCAGGGTTGCGTTATCACTCTACTGGAAAGGAGGAGAGGGCTCCTCTGCCTTATGAGTCACATAGAAGAAAGGATTTCATCAACTGAAGCATTTCTTATTTCTATACCTGCCAGTAACAGAGCTGGCACAAATTCACCAAGTAGTCAGTTTGGTGTAGTGGTTAAGTGCGCAGACTCTAATCTGGGAGAACCGGGTTAGATTCCCCACTCCTCCACTTGCACCTGTTGGATGACCTTGGGCAAGCCATAGTTCTGGCACAGCTGTCCTTGAAAAAGAGCAGTTTCTGTCAGAGCTCTCTCAGCCCCACCTACCTCACAGGGTGTCCGTTGTGGGGAGGGGAAGGGAAAGGAGTTTGTAAGCCGCTCTGAGGTTGTGTTCAGACTGGCAATTTGGCCCGATATAGGCACATTTTACAAACGGGTTAAACGGGCACGATCACACAGCCACATCTGTCAGGCGTTCCCCAGGCGTACTCACCCTGTCAGAGGACAACTTGGAGCCGGGTTAAAAAGCCACCACGTTTGAAGTGGTGTTTTTGTTTCCCTGCGCATTCATTGCACATGGTCAGATGTCTGAACACAGGGGAGCGCACACAGAATGGATTTGGCAGTGTGAACCCACAGATCCATTCTGCCACTACGGAGGCGGTTTTTTAAAAGAATTGTCTATGTGCACATGCACTATGCACACACATGGTTTTTGAATATATTTTTTTGGAGTTCGCTTCATGGCTGAGGTGCCACAATAATGTGGATGCTTTACCACGGAATGTCTCCATGGATAACCCACAGCAGGGTGAGCTGTGTGGCTGATATAGCCCACTATACTTTAACCTGGTTCCATTAGAGGCGGCCCCATATCGTGCCAAGCTGCCAGTGTGATCACAGCCTGAGACTCCTTTGGGTAGTGAAGGGCGGGGTATAAATCCAATCTCTTCTTCTAGTCTGAATCAAGATATTGCTTTCTCAGCCCCAAACCTGTGGTATGCCGGGGTTGGGGATAACAAATCTGACCTATTTTACAGGGCAATGGTAAAGATTCCTGAAATAATCTCTGTGAAGGTATAGAGCACCAGAGTCTCACTGCAGGACTGCTAAATAGTCACATTAGTAAAGGCTTAAGAACAATTTCCTCTTCTACATCTGGTCACCATAAACCCACTGTCCATGAAAACCTGTAGTCTTCTTAAAATAAATTAACCCAATTAATTTTTCATGTTTTCTCTTTGGGAAACTCTCTTCGTATCTTTTGTCCCATCTGATTTCATATATGCAGCTGTTTTCTTTTTATAATCTGTATTCACATTTACTGCTATGTATCAGCTTTCAGTGTAGAAATAAACAGGGGTCTAATGGCACTTTAAAGACCAACAACATTTATTCTTACATCGAGTTTCACAGATTCGAGCCTACTCTTTAGAGGCAAGCTAGCAAAGCATTAGGAAGAGAGGACGTAAACTGACAGATTTGTGACTGCCTTCTGTATGATGCTGTGTGTTTCTTTTCCCTCTTATAGACTGTGAAGACCGCCAGGCCAGTAGCAGAGCCCAATGCAGGATTTTGGTCTCAGTTACAAAAATATGAAGAACATTTACATATGCAGGGTCAGGTCACTCCTTCTCAAAAAGAAACTGTACAATAAATATACTGTTGATTCATATGGGAGCATGCTTTGAAATGGTATGTGTGCCAAAAAAGCCCAGAAAGACCGTATCAGCAGTAGACCATATAATTTACCTCATCTAGGAAATGGTGTTCCGATCTGCACAAGTTATCCTGATGCTGAAAAACGTTTGTTTTTAGGATAAAATATGAAGATACAAGGAAAAATGTCTCAGATATGTGACAAAACCATCACACTTCTTTCCTTGAACAAAGTGAAAGTCTGTGGACAGCTGGTCTTCTATCTTGCGGGGGGGGGGAGGAAGAGAAATGTGACAGTGGGGTAGGGTTGCCAACCTCCAGGTAGTGGCTGGAGGTGTGCTGCTATTACAACTGATTTCCAGGTGACAGAGATCAGTTCATCTGGAAGAAATGGCTGCTTTGGAAGATGGACTCTATGGAATTATACCCCACTTAAGCCCCTCTCCTCCACAGACCCTGCCCTCCTCAGGATCCACCTCCAAAATCTCCAGATATTCCCCAGCCCAGAGCTGGCACCCATAGAGTGGGGCCTTTAATCTATTGTGGACAAGAAGGCTGAAATTTATTAAATGCGCTAATGAAACACCGCTATGTATGTTTTATTTCACTGACAATATTGTACATTCTGAATAGGTTACAAACATGCATAGATATTATCATGACAATAAGTCCATATGCATCTACTCTTAGATGAATCATGTAACAACAGCATGTTGTAAAAATCTAGATAGTGAAGAACTACAGAATGCAGAACATCTTAATGTCTGAAAACTATATTTGCTAAAATATACAAGGAAGAGAATATGGGATCTTTGTCTAAAACAACAATATATTCTTTTTGCAGTTTACATCTGTACTCAGAATGGCTAGGGTAGCAATAAACTCAAGGAAAAAACTATGACTCCAGTGTTTTTTTCTGGACCAGATTATTATGTTCACATGGATTTGCGTAGCTGTCCTCCTTAGACATGGGAGTGCCCACAACTTTTGCAAATCTCTTTTCATCCCCTGCTGGCCATGTTTCTGCTTCACATTCTCTGCCCCCAATTGTTTCCACATGTAAAATTACTGTCCCAGAGCTGCTTTTCATTGGGGGGAAAAACAGATATCAGGGCTTCCTCACATAAATTTGAGTGTAACATGTAATTTATCCATAAGACCTTGGAGTTATGGGCCAGGATGTTTAGCAGTGAAAAGATGAGCTTGGGTGAGAAATTACAACCACGCTGTGTTTATGCATGCATACATATGAATGTGTATTCACACATGCATACACATATTTGGCACTCTACGGTATAGCTTAATAAGCAGCAGACAGAAACATAACATGTAACAAAGATTCTGCACAAGATGCCTCTTAATATCATTGCCCATTAAGTCATGTAGTATAGTTACTAAGAGCTATGAGCCAGAAAGGCCCTAGTTCAAATTTCATCTCTGCCGCAAACTCATCAGAGAGCATGAAGCAATTTACAGTGTAACCCTAAACAGAATTATATCTAATCCCACTGATTCAATGGACATAGAAGGATGTTACTCTGTTTAGGATTGCTCTGTTACTTTCTTGGCTGTAGCTTCCCATTTGCAATATAGGGATAATACTGGCCTAACTGACAGGTCTGTTGCTGCATTTTCAGGCATCTCTCTCTCTCTCACACACACACACACAAAAGAGGTCTGTTCAATCTAGGCAAAAGCGAAACTTGTGCACTTCTTTTGCTTCTCCTCTTTCCCCTTGCACACACAGAACAACTGGAAGCTTCATGGCTTAGAAAGCCCCGAATCAAGCCCCAACTTGCTGGTATCCAAATGTAGCCATCCAGACAAACTGAAGTTTCTCTCTTCCCCCAATTCTGAATTTGCTAGGTGCCTGCATCCAGATGTCATGATGAACTGGGGCTTGATTTAAGGTTTCACAAATCCAGAAGCCTTCAATGAAATGCCATGCGCAAAGGAGGAATGAAAGCATACACGCTCAGCAACAAGCTTTGTCCCCATCAGGGACAAACCACATGCAGCTGTTTGAGTGACCTTGGGTCAGTCACAGTTCTCTCAGAGCTGTTTTCTCAAAAGTAGTTCTCAAAGAGCTCTCTCAGCCCCACCTACCTCACAGGGTGTCTGTTGTGGGGAAAGGAAGGGAAAGGAGATTGTAAGCTGCTCTGAGATTCCAAGTGAAGGGCGGGGTATCAATCCAATCTTCTTTGTTGGCTGTGACTAATCTCTGCATGAAGTGCTTTTAACCCTCTAAAGGACTACATAAATGCAACTATTTTACCATTGGACTAAAAGTCCAAGATTAGTTAGCATTTATAGTCAGTTTGTTCTTATTAACCCATAGTCCAAAGCAGTTTTATTTCAGAAATATTTATAAACTTACACTGCTGCAGTACAATAAGAAGCAACACATTTATCTAAGCAAACTCTTTGGGTCTTGGGATATACAATACGATAACTTCATTTCCCCCCTAGATATGTTCTCATACTTCAACTTCCTATGACACTGAACTTTAACCAGTCCCCAGAAGGAAATTCTACACACATATATAACACTTAGTACCAATAAGAAAATTCGATGCCCAAAATGAAACATTTAGAAAACAAAAAATATTAGAAATCTAAACATAATCTTTGGCAGATGTGACTGTCTCCGACATTTTGTTGTAAATACATGGTTCAGTAGCTCTCTGGGTAGCAGCAGGATCATAATGGTAGTTTCTGTAATTAAAAAGAGGCATACATGTTTGGTAACATTCTCTCTGGTACTTGTGACATACATAACTGATCTATATAGCTCTGAGAAAACACAAATGTGATGTAATACTTTTTATCTAATAGAGATCAATAAGAAAGTAATGGGACAGGCTTCCTTTTGGACAATGGGAGCTCAAAGTTGATCACCATGAGTGCCACCACAAATATTAATATCCTGATCTAGCTACAGGCATAATGTACGTGGAAACATGTTTCTGCATGTGTTCTCTAGGCAGATCAATAGCCACATACACAAACAGGCCCTATACATTTCCGGTATTCATTCAACAACTTGTGTCCCCCACATGTCGGCTACAGGTTCCACTGGCAGACATGCTCAGGGAGTTCAGAATAATTCCCAGGTGTACATGGGCCTGATTCGGATCAGAACCACAGCATATAGGAAAAGGCTTAAGTGTCCCCTCCATACCATTATTCAGTTCTGAAACAGCCCCAGGGAGTCATTATTTGCCCCGCTGAAGAAACATCTACTGATGGGTGACATGCAGTGTTCCTTCTAAGCTGAGATAGTGTGAGCTAGCTCACACTAATAGAGAAGCCTCCGGTTCACACATTTTTGTCTTCGCTCAGGAAGGATGGCTCCAGAGCAAACTAATGTATCCAGTAGCCAAATCGCTCGCTCACAACTGCAATGCCAGTAGCTCACAAAGTAGAATTTTTGCTCACAAGACTCCACAGCATAGAGGGAGCATTGGTTACATGTGAGTTTATAGGCTACACACAAGTTTCCCATAATGGGGCAAATAGCAGCTCCCACACACGTGCCTGGGAATGAAGTTTCGAGCACAGAACACCTAGAGCATGTCTGACAACAGTACCTGTGGGAGACATGAGGCCTCTGTAACATGTGCATCAGCCCTTATTCTACTCACTGGATCTGTTCCAACTAAAGTTAAAATATCACCACTCAGGAAGGGAACGGGATGTAGTTCTTTATCTCTCCCAATTACCTTTCTCTGCCAAATGTGTGGACAGGCAGAACATTACCTTTTTTGGAAAGAGCTCTACACCATTCAGTTCCACCTGCTTCTTGTACATTGGTTCTGGGCAAACACATTTCTAGGTGTACAATAAAGTGTACACTGAAAAATGTAAAGTGTGACCAATAGGTGTTTGAAAGCAGCTGTCATACAAGTATATCCTGCAATGAGAGAGGACTGTCTGTAGTTCCCTAACAAGTGCACAGTCAGACTCAGGGTCAAACTAAAGGAAATGCTGAGGCGTCCATGAATGTATCTTCACAGTATTTTTAAAGAGATTTCAGAGTATTTTAAAAGGGAAATCAGAGCTGTGGTTTGGGGGTTCTCTCCCTCCCACCTGGTCTTACAAATTGAAAATGACACTCACCAACCACACATGCTGCTATAAAATATGAAAGGGGGAAGTTGTTTTATTGCAACCCAGGGGGCTTGTTTCAGTCAGTGAAACCATACAGGGGCCAGGGTTAAATCTTTCTCCCATGCACTGCTACCCTGTTTCTAATTGGGGCCCCATACAACCACTATTTCCCTTTGAAAACCACATCTTATCTAGTTGGCGCTCAGCAGTAAGCCAGGATTTATTCCTGTGTGTGTCTGAAAACAGCCCAAAACTTATCTAGAGTGGAAGTAACAAGAGTGACCTGTTGGAAGACACTCTTGTCCAAGGCCCAGGTCAAGGCCTTTTACAGCCCACAATAACCATGCTTTCTCAGAAGAAAATCTCTTATATTCCAGTATTTAATATATTTTATATTATTTTATTTGATGTGTTAAATCAAATGTGATTAAAAGTTTGAACAGCAGCACAAAGGAGTTACATGGAGTTCATCACTGGCAATATAGCAGAAGTTCAGGAGAAAAAAAGCAGTCCCTTAAAATGCTATCTGAACCAATGGGAACTGTTCATTTCATTCACAAGTTTTGTTCTTCAGTATGAACAGTTTACATACCTCTGTTTCTGTCTTTTGCTTCCTTTGCATGAGAATGTCAGGAGCATCCCACCTAGCATAGAGAGCAGGGAGCCAGCCCAGCCTATGTACAATGCGACTCCTAGTTCATATCTGGAATGAAGAAGATTCTATAGAAGCAGCACTCAATGAAATCAAAGACAATCTGAAGCCGGGTGCATGCACATGAAAGCTTATACCCAGAATTAAACTTTGTTGGTCCTAAAGGTGCCACTGGACTTGAACATTGTTCTGATGATTTCTCCAGTATATGACTGTCACTAGGACAAGGATGGAGTGAAGAAAGGGGTAGGGGAGGGCCAGAAGAGGAGACTATTGCCGCTCTGTGTGTGTGAGAGAGAGAGGGGTGGGGCAGGCTTAACCTATAGAAGAGGTCTGGATAATGGACTGTGATAGGGATGGTGGGGTCAAACTAGGAGACTATACTGCCCTAAACTTTTATCCCACAATCTGTCTTTTACAAGTGATATCAAACAATGAAGGGAGAGCTATTTGTCTCTTGATCCTGCTGGAGTGTGAAAACTAGACAGAATCCAGAAATGGGTAAACAGTAAACTGTTATTCAAGCAATAATGCATGCTAATGTCACCTCGTAGGTTGTTAATCTTTGTTAAGGGAATTGAAGTATATTTATTTATTTATATTTATTTATTTATCAAACTTTTACCCTGCCCTCCCGCCAAGGCGGCTCAGGGCGGCTCACAAATAATTAATACCAGTATACAGTTAAAACCAGTTATCACAACTAATACAATACCATACCATAAAACCATAAAACATTACAGTAAATACAACCTTTTGAGATTTGGCGGCCATCCGTATAAAGTGCTAGTGCTTATGTGGAACGGCCAGTGTGGCCAGGGCTATTAGAACGCTTCGGAATAGCTCGGTCTTCACCACTCTACAGAATTGTTGAAGATCCCGCAGAGCTCGAATTTCAGTTGGGAGCTCGCTCCATAGCGTCGGTGCAGCTAGGGAGAACGCCCTGGTTCTTGTTTCTGTTAACTTAGCATCCCTAGGACCAGGAGGGACAAGGCGGTTTTGTGTCCCGGATCTCAGTGCTCTCGGGGGAACATACGGGGAAAGGCAGTCCCTCAGGAAGACAGGCCCCAGACCATTAAGGGCTTTAAAGGTCAAAACCAGCACCTTGAAGCGTATTCGGAATGCTATTGGCAGCCAGTGCAGCGACTTCAGCACAGGTTGGATGTGGTCCCTCATGGGGAGACCCATCAACAACCTGGCTGCAGCATTCTGCAGTAGCTGCAGCTTCCGGAGTTGCCCCAAGGGCAGCCCCATATAGAGAGCATTACAGTAGTCCAACCTCGAGGTGACCATAGCATGGATCACTGATGCCAGATCATTGTGTTCAAGGAAGGGGACCAACTGCCTAATCAGCCGAAGGTGGTAAAAGGCTGCCTTGGCAGTGGCTGCTACCTGGGCCTCCATTGCCAGGGAAGCATCCAGGAGCACTCCAAGCTCCTGACCCTCGGCACTGGCACCAATGGCGCCCCACCAAAGGCTGGAAGAGGGACCCCTAACCCCGAGCCGCTCCGATTCAGGCATAGGACCTCCATCTTCATCGGATTCAATTTCAGTCGGCTCAGCCTAAGCCAGCCCGCTATGTCCCGCAACGCTCAGTCCAGATCTTCCAGGGTAAAGCCAGACTGACCACCTAGCAACAGATAGAGCTGGGTGTCATCCGCATATTGATGACACCCTAGCCCATATCTCTGGGCAATATGGGCAAGGGGGCGCATATAGATGTTAAATAACACCGGGGAGAGAACTGCCTCTTGGGGCACCCCACAGACTAGTGGGTGTCTTTGGGACAGCTCCTCCCCGAGTGCCACCTTTTGTCCCCGACCTTGGAGAAAGGAGACTAGCCATTGCAGGGCGAGCCCCCGAATCCCCACGTCAGTGAAACGGTGGGCGAGCAACTGGTGATCGACCATGTCGAATGACGCCGACAGTTCTAACAACAGGAGCACCGCCCCGATCCAGGTGCCTTTGGAGATCATCTGTGAGGGCGACCAGTGCTGTCTTAGTCCCGTGGCCCGGGCAGAAGCCAGACTGAAATGGGTCCAGCTTGGAAGTGTCATCCAGGAAGGCCTGCAACTGTATTGCCACCGCCCTCTCTATTAGTTTGCCCAAAGAGGGCAAATTGGAAACCAGCCGATAGTTGGCCAATTTGGCCAGATCCAAAGATTTTTTTTTTTAGGAGGGGGCAGAACGTCACTTCCTTGAGAGCCCCTGGGAATAGGCCCTTGGAGAGGGACCTGTTGACAATATCCCAAAGGGAACCTCGAAACCCCTCCCAGCCTGCTCTAATTAGCCAAGAGGGGCACAGATCAAGGCTGTAAGTGGTTGGACGCACCGTTGAGACCAATCTGTCGACTTCCTCTAGGCTGAGCGGGTCAAAACTATCCAGAATGGGACCAGAAGACGTGCATGGAGCCTTGAGTTCACATACTGTTTCAAATGTGGCCAGGAGGTATAGAAAATGAGGAGCCAAATATTTGTTTCAGACAATCACTATGTAATTGATAATATGCCAATGTTAATTAATGTCTTTAGATCACACAACATTTAGCTGCTACACATTCTGGCATCACTTAAACAATGTCCATGTATTGTAATGACTGAGTTGAGCTAATAATACAAGGAGACCCATTAACTTACTTAGTTCCAGCATATAATGAATCAAAAAACTGAGCCGTGATTCTCGATGCATACCAAGAAATAGCCACCATCGATGAAAGACCTGGAGAAAAAAATACAGTTTTTATGTTCCTGAGGGTACAGAAGCAACAAATAAAGCTAACATTTCAATGCACATCTGTTTGAGTACAAGGCTGTGGCTGGGTGGCAGAGCACAGACATTATTGTGGGCAGAATGGACTAGATTCAATATCCAGTGTTTCCAGTTTAAAAGCTTTTTGGCAGCTGTTATCGGGTTCTGCCTCAGACTCCAGCGAGATATAGCCAGTCAGATTTAGCCACTGATTCAGAATCAATATAAGTTAGTAGCATACATTCAAAGGACTACTGATTTCTTCTATATTATATGAAAAGTAAAGTTTTTGACAAGGCTTCTTGATGCAGGGAGGTCCAGTAAATAAATAATATGAAAAACAAAACAAGATCTAATCAGAAAAATGGAACACCAATAAATTAAAATAAACTACCACTCTAAGTGGTACTTTTCACAATTCCAGCTATTTATTGCCATACGTAATAATATGATAACAAGATTGGTCTACGATTACAGAGGCTTAAAGTGCAGATTTACAAGCTTCCAAGACCAGTGACTTCAATAGACTTAGGAGGTGTAACCCTGTGTAGGATTGCACTGTAAATATCATACAGGGCAAGGAGGATGTTACAATGTCTTAGCTGCAAGAGCTGTTTGTTCAATTGGTTTAATTGCCAGGAAATGGTTTGCTTTAAAGCCCATCAGGGTTGGAAGAGACTCTCCCCCGCCAGCTGAAGGGTGGAGGCAGATGTTTGTGAACAGAAAACACAGCACTTTAGGGAGGGGCAGACAGCCACCGCTGGAGTGGGCTGAAGCACTGTGAAGTTCCCCTCCCTCTCCCTCTTGTTGTTCCTTGGATTTGAGGTAGGGTAGCAGATTTGCTATCCTGTAGGAGTGCCTCAGTGCTTCACCTGTTATCTACATATCTGTGTATCTGTTGATAAAGCCAGCATTTCAAAAAAGACCATAAGTTCCCATTGCACTCTCCTCCAAGGGAAGCAGCCTGAGCAAGAGCTGACCATTGGAACTGCTCACCCCTCAAAGAAGTGTAACTACAGTTTAAAATTGCAAACATCCAAAGCTTTACCTGACTAAAGGCAAACACTTTTCTTTGTGATTCCTGACAAAGGCAACCTCACCCAGTTACACTGGACCCTCTCCTTATCAAGGAAAGTTGAAGGTGAATGACAAACCCACATTAACTATGGTCTGTCTTCCAAGTCTCTTCAGTGTTACAGCAGATGGCCAGCTAACAGGGTAAAATAGTCACAGAAGAGGAGCCAGGAAAAAGGAAATGGCATTTTGGAAATCCCATTTGCATAGGTAGTTTATAACACTAATAGGAAAAGTTATATAATACTTTCTGGGGATATTTTTCCACAAACTGAAGAAATCTGAAAAATCTGAAAACTTTAAAAATAGGTGAGTGGGGTTTTAAATCCCCTAAAAATAAAGAAATGTGAGTGACTGTAGGTGGCAAGACCTCAGCCACCACACATTGCCAGGGCTGGGGGATGATGGAGAAAACAAAGCCTATATAATCCAGGACTGATAGCTCAGTTTTAAACCCCCCTCCCCCATCTAATTACTTATCTCTTTTCGGCCACCCTTCTGACACCATGGACAATGTAGATTTTATGTGGCCCAGAGATTGGGAAGAAGTGTGGGGGGCTTTAAGAGACAGGGGGCCTTTAAGGAAGGGGGTGGAGCCACCAATAGCCCCACCATGGCTACGGGCAGACAGACCATCCAGATGACTAAGACTGAGCTTCTATTCCACTCAACTAGAAATACATTACAAAAATGAACAAGAGAAAGTAGGAACGCAACTCTGAAAGAATGGGAAAACACTGGATTGTTTGTGGCATGGTGTGAAACATCCATAGTAAGTATGTTAATAATCAGTGGTAATCATGACACAGTTGCCCAGTGTGGAACCGACCGAGTTTGAGTCATCTAGTGGTCTACGCTATGAAACCATCCTCTCTGGGAGACTGCTTGGGTCACACGATGGTCTGGATTGAGTCAGTTGATTTGTGAGAAGCTGGTAGATGAATGTGTTGCTCCCTCACAGCAAGAGTGAGGACTAGATGGCTCTCCCGTCCCTTCCATCCCCAGGATCCCATTATTTGCACTCTTGTTAAAGATTCTACAGATTTATCACCTGACAAAATGAACACTATTCCTCCTATCGTGGCAATCTTTGCTTTTGTGTATTTAGTAGTGCTCCCGAGTTGAGTGCACTCTAAACCAAACACTGTCACCAGAGTACCAAGCAGACCCAAGACAAGGGAAGTGACCATCAGGGCTCGGCATGCTTGAATATAAGCTGCAACGAAAGGAAAATTGACAAAAATCAGGTTGTGTAACAAAAAACTAAGCAATATCATAATTTATAATAAAGCATTGATCAAATCAATGATCAGAATCAACAACAAAAGCTGTATGTTATTTGGATATCTGAATAAGTGAAGGCAGCTTCTGGGACCCAGTTGCTGGAAGTATGTAGGTAACCGACCCCAATTACTTTGGAAAACTACTTAGGAATATTTTACACACTCTATGAAAATTTCTTTGCATTTCAGTATATCTGAATTTAATTTCTCTCCTCCTGAACCTTTTTTTTTTTGGATGGGAGATGAAGACTGAGAGGGAAAAGCAGAGATTCTAAATTCATGTAGAGGACGGCCTCCCTGTGCCCCATTCTCCTATGTACAATAATCTCACTGATTGCCCTGGCTTTATAGACCTTTTGGTACCTTTAAGCAGCCAGTTGCCATTATGTCAATGCCCACTGTCATCTCATATCTGTTTGCATGTCTGACAACCAACACTGCTCACGCTAATGATCAAAAAGTGTAATTCTTAACAGGCCTGGAAGTAAAGGTGCAAAAACTAATGTGGGCATACAGAGGTGAGCAACAACCAGTGTAAATACTCCATATGCATTCTAGTGTCCTGGCCCCACTGATGGACCTCCTGATGGCACCTGGTATTATTGGCCACTGTGTGACAGAATGTTGGACTGGATGGGCCATTGGCCTGATCCAACATTGGCTGCTCTTATGTTCTTATGTTCCCATCATTTGGTGGCCATGTTGTTACTTTAGTTTAATTTTTGAAGCTGTCTTTCCTTTCCTCAATTCAATGATTTCACTCACTGCCCCTTGCAAAATCTCATATTTTGACTCTGTCCAGCTTCAAGCATTTACACCTGAATTAGTTCAATTGGGGTAAATTGCCCCTTCCTTCAGCATCACTTATCACAGAGACACAGAGCTACTAATGACATCACCATATATTTGAGCCTTTAGTGAGTAGGGGGACCGGAAGTGCAAAGGCCTTCATGGGATGGGGGAAGTGGGAAATGCTTGAGAAGCCATCTCCCAGTCTGTATTGATTCAATGAGTCATTTATTAAACCAATTTACCAGCTCATAGTAGTTGTAGCACGTGGCAAGTTGCAAGTACAGGTGATGAAGAAATCAATGCTAGCCGCATGATTTTTATGTTTATATAATACCTTCTGTTAAGCAGCTGAATTATGAGATATTATCTAGCATTTCCATCTACTTTCCTCCTGACCTGGATGGGTCAAGCTGGCTTAATTTTGTCAGAACTCAGAAGCTAAGCAGGGTCTGCCCAGGCCCGTAGCCAGGATTTTTTAATTCGGGGAGCCTTTAAATAAGTCAGGGGGCACCCTGCACAGACACCCCCCCCCCCCAAGAGGGACCCAAAGAAAAAATTAAAAAATTGGAAGTTGGGGGGCCTGGATTGGATGGGAAGTTGGGGGGGACCTTGGGAGTGAGTCGGGGGGCTGGGCCCTGAGATGCCCCACTGTAGCTATGGGCCTGGGGCTGCCCTGGCTGGTACTTGTATGGGAGACCACCAAGGAACTCTAGGGTCAGTAAGCAGAGGAAGGCAATGGCAAACCACTTCTGTTAGTCTTGTGCCTTGAAAACCCTACGGAGCTGTCATAAGTTGTCTGCAAGTTTACAGCACTTTACACATATGCACATCATCCACTTTAATAAGCCCATGATTCTGTGTGCTCGGCTAGGTAGTTCATAACTTTCAAAAATAAAAAAGGTAGTCCACAGGTACACAAAACATTTTAAATTAACATTTTATATTCCATTGGTTTCAGCTGGAGAGAGCACAAGCTTAGCTCTCCCATGGAAACTGAATCAACATTCTGCTTTTGGGCTGTACTCTAACTATTCATATCTGGACAGAGTGCAACAGACACAGAATGGGAACAGAAACTTCAGCTTTGGGCACTATATTTCCTTATTTATTTTTTTCTTATCTGCTACATAGATTCTTTAGATTGAGCCCATTCTTCAGTCTAAATCACAGCTTTGGAGAATTTTATTCAATGAAAATTAAATTGTTTAGGTAATTGTCTGAACACGTGGACATGAATGACAACAAGGATGGTAAGCTAGTGCAGAGCTCTATTCATGGTTGAGACCACTGATATTTGGCAAATAAATAAATAAATAGCAGGAGGTCCACAAAACTTCCCACATGGCCCGAGGGCAAGAACTGTATATGCCCAGCAGCAGAGAGTGGTGTGCAGTCCTCAGCCACCAGGGATCAAAGTGCCAGTGGCTGAAGGGAAGCAAGCAAGAACACCCCTGCTATGGGGTCAGTGCTCAAAGGAGTGGGGAGAATGGGGAGCTCAGTGCATTTCAGCCTGAACCCTTGGGGGGGGGGGGGAAAAGGACTCAAGGGATGAATGTGGCGTTCATTCCTCAACCCAAGGCAAGCCTCAGTGACAACATCAGGGCCAAAAGAGAGAGGGAGCAAGGTCACTTCCATGCTTTGAACCAAACCCCTCATGGCAAATATGCTGTTCCTGTCCTTAATAAATCAGAAAAAAAATATCAGACGGAGGTATTGTTTTTCATTTATTTCTTATTGATAAATATTATGTTTTGCTATAATTTTGGAATACATCAATAGTAAAAAGAGGGCAGGTAGCATTTAAACAAGGGTGCATGGGGATTATGTCTCCTCTGTTTCTGTTCTTCTCCACAGCCCTCCTCCCAGGTGTTTACAGGTTTGCTTGGAGTCTTGTAGCTGACTGGAGGAAATAGGGAGAAAACTGGGTGGGAAGGAAGAGTTGGGAGAAGAATTAATGGGTGTGGAAAGAGGTAAGGGCCCACACATGCCAGGACTGCTGAAGGGAGGAGTTACGTAAAAACAAAATTCTGGGGGTCTGGGTCACTCCTGAGCCACATATAACTGAGCAGCAGGTAATGAGATTTGTTTCATATGATGTTTGGTTTGGGTCTGGGTAGTGTAAGGAGTAACCCAAAAGGATTTTTTGTCTGTGGACCATGGTGACTTTCAGCAACCCTGCCTCCTGTCCATTGATTCTCATAGCTGTGGCATTGCACCAGTGATGCAAACAGACACAAATTGTTCTGCTGCCACAGAAGCCTATAGCTTGTTGTTTGGTGTGCATGTGTGATAAATAGACAAGCAATTTGCAATGGATTTCTGAATCATTTGACAGGAGGATGGATTTACAATTGTATCTCAATCTTCCTGCACTGTTTATAGTACACATGCGATTTCAGTCCTTGTTACTGCACCAACACCCAACAACAGCTGTGGCATACCAGTGTCACATAATGCTATTGTGCGACACAAAAATCAGCAGAAAGGGCTATGAAGGAGGCACCAAGGAGCAACAATGGCCTCAACTCTCCTATACATCATAATAAAGTTCTTTCAGATTTCATGGAATCAGCTGTGTTAGTGTAAGTTGCTGTGCAGTACTAAACATTTCTAACTGAAGGAACAGTGTCTTCTGCGTGGTAAGCCCGGGAATCACTGTTCTCCTGACTAGAGATTGGGAACCCGAGTATGTGTGTGTGCTGAGAGCATGAGGTACTGCCTAATGATGAAGTCACTTGGCCTTGGCAGAAAGACGGGAAAGATAATAGAGAGGCTGTCTGCAGACAACACATTCCTGAATATAGTAGAACATCATAATATGGGGTGACTTGTGTAACTTTCGATATGTAAGAAAGGAAGGAGGGAGAAAGGAGTGAGTTTTCCTCTATATAAATGTTGCCCAGTCTGGCTGGGTCAGTCAGCTTTCTACAGACCTGTGTCCTGTCTTCTTTGAACACCAGCAACCTTCATCTAACAAAATGGCAATGGACGGGCAAGATAGCAGGATACATTCAGGAAAGACCAATGATTTTTGCTGTCCCCAGCAAATGAGACGCGTTCCCCCCCCCCATGCCCTGTGACATCACAGGTGATGCTGAAGCACTTTCTCTCTTTTTCTGCTCACCACAACTGCTCATGCCATGCCAACATATGATCCAGAGATGACATCTTAGCATTGTCTGAGATGTTACAGGGAAGCCTGCCATTAATTTTATTTATTTGCTTATTTATTTAAACCATGCTTTTCTCCCCAATGGGGACCCAGACCAACTACACACGTGTTTCCTTTCATCACACTAGGGTTGGTTCACTCAGGATGCTTCTCCAGGCCACTTTACAGTACACACACATACCCACACTGTATCTTAGCCCTAAAAACACCCTGTCCCAAATGACTGCATGCAATGGCTGTGTGGTTGAGCTGACCCTGGACTGACTTGTCCCCCCCCACACCTCAGATAGGTTGCCATGTGACTTCTAGCTATGTTGGTGCAAAGCAAGTCACCATCACTCTCACAGCTAGCATATCTTTAAGTACAGGGTGCTAATGTTTTTTGTGCAATGACAGAACTTTGATTTCCCCTGTTATCAGACATATGCCCTGCTGATAATTTCCTTCAAGTATAATAAAAACTACTTTGAAAGCAATGAAACAAATAAAGTCAGCAACTGATTGCCAAGTGTCTAATGTGTGATCTGCAAGGCCAGACAGCCCTCCATTCCTGAACAAGCAGAGAGTGCCGATAGGATAGTCCTAGATAGATCCTCAGTCTAACACTGTGACTCAAACTTTTTTCTCATTCTCAAATATTTGAAGTACCATCCTAGGAGAGCTATACCTTGCTAAACCCATGGACTTCAATCTGCAAGTTGTAGCTTTTAGACCACGTATTTTAATCTGGGCAATTTGAACCTTGTTAATTGGACTTTTATGTTTTGTGTTCGTGAAACTTGGAAATGCAATGTTACCCATTTTAAGACTGAGGAGATGGGTGAGATATAAGTATTTTAAAATAACGAATAAACAGCACTGCAGGACCTTGAATAAGTGGCACTCTGCAGGCAGAAGCGAAGGGTTCGCTGCCCATCAGCTAAGTCAATTAGTTATTTTTAATTTATGTTTAAAATAAGTAACATTGTC